ATTTATATGTTTGGTGGAGAGATGTAGTAGAGGGAATGGTGACCTCCAAAAACTACGTCCTTGTTATAACTTCCATAAACATGATCCTATTTGGCAGGGGTAGGGGAGGGCAAGGAGATCTTTGCAGATGTAATTAAGGATCAAGACAAAATCATCCTGGATTTAGGGTGGGCTCAACAACTCATATCCTTTTTTGAGACAGAGTCTCGCTCTGTCGCCCAGGCTGGAGTGCAATGGTGCAATCTCAGCTCATTGCAACCTCTGCCTCCTGGGTTCAAGCAATTCTCCTGCCTCATCCTCCTGAGTACCTGGGATTATAGGCATGTGCCACCACACCTGGCTAATTTTTGTGTTTTTTAGTAGGGACGGGGTTTCACCATTTTGGTCAGGCTGGTCTCGAACTCCTGACCTTGTGATCTGCCCACCTCAGCCTCCCAAAGTGCTGGGATTATAGGCTTAAACCACCGCGTGCCCGACCCTAGTATCTTTTTAAGAAGAAAAAAGAAGAGGGAAATTGGAGTTTCAGCCATGTAGAGGGAATAGGGCCTGTGAAGATGGAAGCAGAGGATGGAAGGATGCAAACCCAAGTCAACGAATGCCTGCAGCCACCAAAAGCCAAATGAGGCAAGGCATGATTCTCCCCCTAGATCTTTTAGGGGGAATGTGGCCCTCCTGGCACCTTCATTTTAGATTTCTGGTCTGTACAACTGGCTTTAAGCCACCAGCTTTGTGGTCATCTTTCAGAAAACAAATATAGAGACATAAAACTCAGGCTTGTTCTAAGGTCCCAGAAAAAGGGGAAGACAAACAGATCACACTCAGTGGAAGGGTTAGTGACGATCACTAACCCCAACGTGCATTAGGCTCTGTGGTAGCTGCTCTGTCATCTCCTGCTGCATATGGTCCTTCCCACGATCCTGTGAGCTTAGTACCATTAGTGTCCTTTTTGTTTTTTTTTTTTTGAGACAGAGTCTCGCTCTGTCGCCCAGGCTGGAGTGCCGTGGCGCAATCTCGGCTCACTGCAAGCTCTGCCTCCCAGGCTCACGCCATTCTCCTGCCTCAGCCTCCCAAGTAGCTGGGACTATAGGCGTTTCACCGTGTTAGCCAGGATGGTCTCGATCTCCTGACCACGTGATCCGCCCGTCTCGGCCTCCCAAAGTGCTGGGATTAGAGGTGTGAGGCACCGCGCCCAGCCTTGTTTTTGTTTTAGAGGCAGTCTTGCTCCATTGCCCAGGTTGGAGTGCAGTGGTGTGACTTTCTGTCACTGCAGCCTTGATCTCCTGGGCTCCAGCCATCTCCCACCTCAGTCTCTCAACTACCTGGGATGACAGGCACATGGCCATAATCAGCTTTTTAAAAAAAATTTATTTAGTGGAGACAGGGTCTCACTATTTTGCAGGCTGGTATCAAATTATCCTCCCACCTTAGCCTCGCAAAGTGCTGGGATTACAGGCATGAGCCACTGCACCTGGCCCCATTACCCCATTAATGTCCTTTGATGGAAAAGTAAACTGAGGGTCAGAGAAGAAAAGTGACCTGCCTAAGATTAGCAAATAACAGAGATGGTCTGCGTGCTTCCAAAACCCTGGTTCGTTGTGCTGCATCCCACCACATAAAAGGCATGCAGGCTGAAAGAGATTTCCTTTTTCTGTTGTTTTCTTCACTCCTCAACCTCTACTTCCTAACACTCCTCTTTTTCCCTTTCCATACACCCACAATGACCTGAAACACTTTTGGCTCACTTTTTTTTTTTTTGGCATGCTTTCTTTAAGGATTCTTTTTAATACACAGGTATTTCTCTATAACAATTTATAGGCATTTGTATATAAGCATATACTATAAAATGATTAATTGAGCATTGTATGTTTTTATCAAAGGAAACAATGCAAAGATTTCTCCAAAGTGCTGTTTGACTAGAGATGATTAATTTTAATTTTCACATGAGTGGCACAATGCTATTAATCATTTAATATGTTTAATCATAATCTCTGTAATTCCTAATTAGGTTCATTAAGCTGAAACATCCAGCAGTTGTACACAAATCCAAATCTATGTTTCCTTCTCAGGGTAAGAAGGAGCTCACTTTATTTTTGCATTGAAACAGAAACTTCTAACAGGATGGAAAAAAAATGGACTGAAAGCTGGGGGTTTCAGCTATAGCATCTGTAAACTCCGAGTCCGGGTGTAGAGTGCTAAAACCCCTTACAATCTGAAAAGGGACAGTTGCATGATTCAAGCTCGTTTCTGTGTCATGGACATGGCACCAAACCTCGTATTCTCAGCGGAGAAAACCCATATTCTGCTCTGTTTGGGTTTCAGTGTTACAACGTTGTTCTTCAACTATCACATGAAGGTGGTGACGTTGATTGTACACTTCTTCATTCATTTGTTTATTCATGTACTTTCGGTCAGTGAGTCAGCCAACCATTAAACAGACATTTATCATTTGTGTCACAAGCTGGTCGTACCACCCTCCTGCTGTGATCCTTAGGTGGCTCCTTATTGCTCTTAGGATGAAGCTCAGACTCTTGCTTCATACAGTGTCCTTTGATCTAGCCCCTTGACTATCTTTGAAACCTCCACTCCTGCCTTCCCTTCATACCTGCCTCATCTGACCAGTGGTGCTGGAGCTACACATACTCTCTGAATCCAAGACATCATTTGACATCTCTGCACGTACGCTGCCCTGTCTCGGTATAGCCTCAGTCCTTTTCACCTCTTCTCTTAGATATCTCCCACTTAAAATTTAACCTCCAGAATTGGCAAGCCTTGCTGAACCTCCAGCAGTGTTATATGACCCTGATTTAAGGTTACTCAGCCCTTTGTGATTGCCTCTTATCCCAACATTTACCAGTCTGTATTGGCTGCGGATGGTGGCTCATGCTTGTAGTCTCAGTGCTTTGGGAGGCTGAGGCAGGAGGATCACTTGAGGCCAGAGGTTCAAGACCAGCCTGAGCAACATAGTGAGACCCTGTCTCTGCAAATAAAAATTAGCTTGGTGTGGTGGTGTGGTGGCGCATGCCTGTAGTCCTAGCTACTTGGAAGGCTGATGTGGGCAGATTGTTTGAGCCCAGGGTTTCAAGGCTGCAGTGAGCCATGATTGTGCCACGGCACTCCAGCCTGAGTGACCGACCAAGACCCAACTCCAAGAAAACAACAAAAAACAATGACAAAATGATTCTATTTATGATTGTCTTTCTCTATTGGTGTCATTCACTAAAGTTGGAATTGCGTGTGACTTGGAGGGCTGATTTATGTGTCTAACACAAAGCAGTTGCTCAGTAAAGATGTGTAAACACTTTAAAAATAAGCAAATGACAACCTTTCCTGTGTGTTTCTCAAAAGAGGTTTATTTCTCTTTTTGGTATTTAAAAAAATTACCATTACTCTAGACAGTTCGTTACTTTCCATTTATTGAATATATACCAGGAACTTGGCCAAGTTAGCATACATTATTCAATCACAAAGCCTTAAAAGGTATGAACTCATTATTCTTTATTTTCCAGTTAAGAAAATGACCATCGTACTGCTTCATATTCAATCCAACAGTATAGGCAAAATGACTAAATACATTGTCTAAATACATGACTTTCACTTAAAACTTGAAGAAGTCAAGTGGTAGGGCTTTTGGTACCAGAGCAGCTTGGAAGAATGGTTTGCGAGCCAACTGGAAATCTTTACTTCAACATGCAATTCAGGGTGTGTTAGGAAGGAAAATGCAAATGAAACCTTCCAGTAAATACCAGGGCTGTTGAGAAACTTGCTAATTGTGCCCCTGTTATCTGAGTGTTTGCATTTCACTTTGTAAGATTCTCTCCTCTAAGTCGTTATTATTTTACACCTGGCTGCCTATATTGATAGTTTTGTCCCAATTATGTACTTCTAGATTGCTTATAGATAGGTGAGGATGATTCCTCACTCATAAGTTTGATAGGTATAAGCTTTCTATCATAGTTTCAAAGTTGGTATCTGATGTGGATGGCATTTACTGCCACCTAGAGGCAACACATGCTAATTGCAGAGAAAGTATCCTATGTTAAATGTTTGAAATGTTAAAACTCTAGAACTGAGAGTATGGCAGTGGCTATAATGATACCTAATGTGACTGTGACTTTTCCCCTAGTTCTTGCCTATATATGGGTGTCAATGTAACATCATGTTATACAGCCTTATTTGGAAGTCAGGGGTGGTGAAACAATGAGTTATGCTTATAATGTTACACGGTCTAGGCAAACAGCACAGCAGAACTTTCTGTAGAGATGGAAACATTCTGTATTTGCATTACTCAGCATGGAAGCACTAACTACATGTGGCTCTTGAGCACTTGAAATGCAGCTAATGCAAACGAAGTTAAATATATCATTTGAATTCAGTTAAATGTAAATTGTCACATGTGGTCAACTGTAGTGGACAGCACAAGTTTGTACAATTAGAGCCTCAAAAGAGTAAGTCAATCAGCTGGTTATTTGAACTCCAGAATGCCAAGTAGTCTTTTCAAATTTTTTACATTTAATTATATTTTATCTGCACAATTACCTGAACAATTATGTAGGCATATCTTCAGATTCTGAACCGCATCAGTTAAGAAATACACAGTCTCCTGCCTGTAATAATTATTACCCCCTTCTTGATGAGGTTCCCACTCCCCACCTCCCAACCCCAGCAGCTCCCAGTCCCCTTCCTTTGCTTTTTCTAGCCTATAGTGCTTTTCTCTGTCTGCCAACACTCTATTTATGGATTTATTATCTGGAATGATGCTCCCCGAGGGCAGGGATTTTTGTCTGCTTTGCCCACTGCCTAATCCCAGATTCATCATGAGCACTCAGTGGATGCTCAGAAAACACTTGTTGAATGAATGCATGCATGCCTGCCTCAGCATTTTCTTCCCTTCTCAGAATCCTTAGTTCTGATCTTTTCCTGCCACTCAGGGCAAGCAAAAGCGCATTGGAACAGAGCATTGTGGTCCACTCAACCTCTTCGATTTCTTCTTGTTCTTTTAGCAGACAGATGATGCAGCACCAACGGATGGCCAGCCCCAGACACAACCTTCTGAAAACACGGAAAACAAGTCTCAGCCCAAGCGGCTGCATGTCTCCAATATCCCCTTCAGGTTCCGGGATCCGGACCTCAGACAAATGTTTGGTGTAAGTACCACCTTTCTTCTCAGCAGTGCCCGCTCTGGGGTTTCCAGAGACCTCCGTGTCTCGTGTAAGTTTGGGGGTATTTACAATACTAAGGTTAGATGTTTGCATGGGGAGAAACATTTTAGAGTCTAGTTTTTGGGTATATTGTGGCTAGAATCTCTCTATGGTTTTAGCATGTATTTCTGTACATATGCTCACCATGTATCTACTTTGCCAAGTGGTTTTCTTCTAAGAAGTAACTTGAAGGCCAAATGGAAAACATTCCTAAATGACCCACTGCTGAAAGAAGCCATCAATAGATGGTCCTAAATCCAATGGCCCAGGACATCATACTGTAGCAAAAATACACCCCGAGTCCTCTTGGTTTTGCTTTCTTTTGCAGTTGTCAGATTATCCAGAGGGTGACTCATCGTGTATTCCTGCATTCCCTAGTCTTTCCCAGGCACTGTGCATTTAGATTTCAGATGCAGCAACAGAGAACAACTAATTTTGCATAAAGCTGATTTTAGCAAACAAAGCAAAACCACCACCACCATCACCAAATGAGCTACCAGTTTCTAAGTTCATGTTGATTCCTGAAGTCTACATTTTTCTGAAATTAGTGACAGGGATTCAGAGGCACTTACTGTGGTGCTATATGCCATGAAGGGTAGCCATGCCCAGGCACCATGGTGAAATATAGAGCAGGCCACAAGTCACCACTAGCCCAGGAGAAAATAATAGCATTGCTTTTTTATAGATCATCTTGCCCCTGATTATTTTTTTCTCAGAGATATCTTCACTATCCACTTTGGGAAGCCATGAGTTTGCCATTTCTTTGACCTCCGTTCAACCAAAGGACAAGGCTATGACGGGGCTTGGATATCTTTCACGTTTGTGAATGTAGCCAGTTTGCCCATGACATCCCAGCAATGATAGCAGGTGCCTGTGGATTCGGTGAAAAGAATTACATCTTTAACATTTGACTTAGAGCAAAGGTGGGCTGCTCAGAGACTCCTCCTCTAGGAGTTTATAAATGGATGCAAATATCACAAAAGGAATAAGAAGATGCCCATTCTGAGTCACTCTGGTGTTGTTCTCCGTATAAAATGGAAGGCTCTGGTTCACTTCTCAAAGGCACTGTATGTTGGGGATTAGCTTGCACCTTTTACTTCTTACACACACGATGCTTATCAAGTATGCATCTGACACAAAAGCAGAGCAGGCATCCTAATATTTAAGATACCCAGCTTTGAATGCTGACATTTCAGAGGAAAAGGTCAGCTCTTGCACTTTTATCTCTCTCATTTGGTAATAACCTTGAGTTGAGCCCCTCCAACTCCTGCAGAACAGAGATACCCTCGGGCACTTTCAGGTCAAAGATGACTTTGAAAAGTGCAGAGCATTCAAAGTGAGAGTTGAGGTTAAGTGTGTGTGAGGCAGTAAGACCAGGTTTGAATGATGGGCAGTAAGAGGAGTTATATTCTCTTTGCCATGTCAGGTTAGGAAGATGTCTTGCTGTGTGGTCTGTTTTTTCTCATCAAGTGTCACTGTGATGTTGGCTTTGAATTCAATCCCCTTAATAAGCGTCTTGACACTCTTTTATGGTGTCACTCATTGCATCTCACCCCAAGTTCCACCCTTTAGGGGGCTTTCCCCCCATAGTTTTCTTAGTTATCGTGAAAGTTACTGCAGGCTACAATGCTAAGTCACAGAGGTATTCAAAATATTCACAGAATTCAGAGAAGGGATTCTGAGTCTCTCTAGTCTTATAGAGTTAGGGTAGACGGCAAGGAGCAAGATCTTGCCAAAAAATTGTACTACCTGTCATCAAACCTTGATCCAAATCTACTAGTTTCAGGGTGCTTGTTTTTATTTATTTGTTTATTTTTATTTTCATTTGTTTATTTTTTGAGACAGAGTCTCACTCTGTTGCCCAGGCTGGAGTACAGTGGCACAATCTCTGCTCACTGCAAGCTCCGCCTCGTGGGTTCTCTCCATTCTCCTGCCTCAGCCTCCCGAGTAGCTGAGATTACAGGTGCCCGCCACCACGCTCATCTCATTTTTTTGTATTTTTAGTAGAGGCGGGGTTTCACCATTTTAGCCAGGATGGTCTCCATCTCCTGACCTTGTGATCCACCCAGCTCGGCCTCCCAAAGTGCTGGGATTACAGGTATAAGCCACCGCTCCCAGCCCGGCTCTTGTTTTTAAAAAGACAAGTTCTCACTCTGTTACCCAGGCTAGAGTGCAGTGGTGTGATCATGCTCACTGCAAACTCTTGGGCTCAAGGGATCCTCCCACCTCAACCTCCTAAGTAGCTGAGACTACAGACACAAGCCACCATGCTTGGCTAATTTTTAAGTTTTTTTTTTTTTTTTTTTAAATAGAGATGGGGTCTCACTTCGTTGTCCAGGCTGGTCACAAATTCCTGGCCTCAACCAACCCTCCCACCTTGGCCTTCCAACGTGCTGGGATTACAGCGTGAGATGTGAGGCATTGCACATATCCAGTACCCCCCTTTTTTTTGTGACAAAGTCTAATTCTGTTGCCCAGACTGGAGTGAAGTGGCATGATCTCGGCTCATTGCAGTCTTTCTCCTGGGTTCAAGCAATTCTCGTTCCTCAGCTTCTTGACTAGCTGGGACTACATGTGTGTGCCATCACTTTATAGTCAAGATTTTCAAGCAACTGACAAGATGTCAATTTGACAAGATGATAGATACACTTAATGCCTATCAATTAAGAGAATGCACCGTGCATTCAGTAGCACAAATTTAACCTTGTTCATCACAAGTAGCATCTGTGTCCATTTTTTGAAACTTATTTTTTCTGAAAGATTTTTTGAAAGCTTTATTTTTTCTGTAAATTTTGTCTATAAAAGTACCAGGAACGTACATATTCACAGACCCCCTTGTAATGACTCTTAAGCCTCCATAGTTTACAACTACCATTCTAAAGAAATGCAGTTTTATGCACTAAAAATCTGTTCTTTCCTGCCAAACGGTGGTGGTCACAGAGTCATTCTTGTTATAGGATACATTTAGCGGCAGGAATCACATTGTGAAGCATCTGTAAACATTCTCATTGGCTCCCCGCACTGGAGTTTAGGGAATTTAGGAGGGTTTTCTCTTTCAGGTCATAGTTACTGCAAGAAACTACAGTTTAACTCCAATTAGGTACTTCCGACATCATTTGGACATGAGACATCTTCTCTCCTTTTGGCGCTCTGTCCTGTCTTTGTCTTCCCACTTTGACAGGGGTTACAGTGAGGACAATTACAGAGATAAACAGTCACAAAGATCTTTGTGCTTTCCCCCCTCTTTGTCTCTTGTTAAATACAGGCATGGGATTTTAAAGTCAAAAGCAAAACAAGACAAAAAAGCAACCTCCTTCTTCAAACTGCCTAAAACTTGGCAGTGGTCATTACAACGTCTGTAACCATTAATAATTCGACCATGCCATCTGCAACCATTGCATGCCTAATGGTTACTGCAGGTGACTCATTTTATTTTTAATTTGTATCTTCAGCACTTCTTCATGAAGATTGGGATTCTGATTACCTTTTTCATATTCTTTACTTTGTACTCAATGGAAGCATTTGTTCCCGTGTTTGGCATTAAATCTTCTAGCTCATCTTATTTTATTTTTTTTCATTTGCGATGGAACATTCCTTGGGGAAGATGTTATATGGCTACAACATACAAAGCAGAAGCCACAGTCTTTAAAAAATGCTAGTTGAGGTCCAAGTGAATGGAGCTGTTCTGTGCAGTGGCATTGATATTAAATGGTTCATTGGAAGGGATGTTAGTTTTATACGTGGCTCCTTTTTCCTGGAACTTTGTCTGTTAGGTATCATGCATGAACTTGCATTTTCTTTACAGATAAATGTTTGATGATCTCAAGAGAGGAATATATGGATTTCTAACAAATTAATTGCAATATATGGTGCCCTGAATAGAATGTTTAACTTAATATTTAAAATTTAAACATTCTGGGTTTGAAGTGAGAGAAGTGGATTGTGATATATCCAGACCTCTGCTACAACAGATGGATGGATGTTCTGGATGCCATCACGGAATTGTCAAACAGTTGCTCAGTGACTGCAGTTCTCAAATTTACACAACACCCTTGTTGATTCTGCAGCCTTACTTTAGGGGTCAAAATACAGACCCTCTTGGCTAGGCATGGTGGTGGCTTATACCTGTAATCCCAGGACTTTGGGAGGCCGAGGTGGAAGGATTGCTTGAGTTCGAGAATTTGAGACCAGCCTGGGCAACATAGGGAGACCCAGTTTTTACAGCAATAAAATCAAAAAAACACAAGAAAACAAAATATGGGCCCTCTGGGCAGGAAAATAGTCCACTGAACCTCTCTTTATTGTCACACAAAACAGATCACATGACTTTCAGCACATGCAAAGGAAGATTTCAAGGTCACTTTTTAGTAATGAGACGGGCTTGCCTGTACTTATGATGTTAATGCAAAGTTCCATCTACCATGATGTTATGAGGAGTGAGGCCATTATGGTGGGATAGGGCGTGGTACCTCCTACTTCTGCATTCTGAACACGAAGCTGACACTAAGAAAAACTGGGATGATGCCTTTTCTTGGACTCTATGCACAATCTTTGAACTAACCTTTATGTTTTATGCTGTATCCATTGAACATCCTTCACAGGTTTTCAGAGAAATATTGTTTGATCTGAGAACATCTAAAAATGCTTGGTACATATTTGCCCAAGTGTGTGCCTGTAAACTTCTAGATCTTGTTTTGTTTTTTGAGACGGAGTCTCGCTCTGTCGCCCAGGCTGGAGCGCAGTGGCACATTCTCGGTTCACTGCCACCTCCACCTCCCAGGATCAAGTGATTCTTCTGCCTCAGCCTCCCAAGTAGCTGGGATAACAGGCTCCTGCCAGCGTGCCTGGCCAATTTTTACATTTTTAGTAGAGACAGGGTTTCACCGTGTTGGCCAGGCTGGTCTCGAACTCCCGACCTCATGTTCTGCCCACCTCAGTCTCCCAAAGTGCTGGGATTACAGGTGTTAGCCACCGTGCCTGGCCTGGATCCTGTTCTTGATACAGCTATTGAGACGCCTTGTGTGGAGTTGAGGCGTTGTTGAATGCAGCTGAACATTGCTGTTGAGCAAACAAATGCTAGTTATGTCTGCGAATGAGTTGTGTCTATTTAAATTGAAAATGTGCCAGCTGTGTTTACATCATTAGTAGCAAACTTCCCAATTAAACTGTTGATACTATAAATATAGTACACAACTGTCTTGGAAATGGGGCTTACATCAGCATTCTTCTTCGGGCTTGTTTCACTGGCTTTGAGAACCGTCAACCTAACAGCAACTGCCACAGAAGCAAACTTTGAGACCATTTCAGGGCAGCTGATGTCATTGTTTCATTTAGGGAATGACACATGCTAAGACTGCTGTTTGATTGGTTTTGTCTCAATCAGATCTTATTTTAAAGGAAATGTTTTTGGGTTGACTGCCTAGAGAATGTTCCATAGATGACAGTTGCATCGTGGTTTTGGAAGAAGTCCTTGTCAAGCTTCTCTTTCTGTAAATATATGTGCTTCTAGGCTCTTATGCCTGAAATAAATATGATAGCGTCTGTATAGACTGAATATTCTAGGGTGTTTGTATCAAAATTACTGCTTGAGGAGTTCGCAAAACTGGAGGTTTCTTTACTATGAAATTCAGTTCACATTTGAACGGCAAATCCTTCATTTCCCCCATCTGAAAGTTTTCTTCTATTTCCAGTGATTTTTCTCTGCCTAAAACTGGGGCACTGAAAATGCTCTGTAAAGGAATTCTCTTGACCAAAAGATCTAAGTCCACAAATTGCAGGATGAGTTAGCTGCATGTTTGTTGGCATTTCCATTGTGTGTGCGAGCAATGTGACCCATTTCTGTATTCTCTTCTGAGTATTTTCGCCTTGGTTTCTTCCTATCCTTTGCTTCTCTGAGCAGAAGTACTAGTAGTTCTTTGTTTCACAACTAGAAATATGCACGTCTATGATTCCCCTGGCTGGATAGTGTATGGATCCTGAGGCATGGGCACATTTCTATGGTACAGAATGACAAACTTTTGGTTACTTTTTTCCATAGTCAGAACTATTTTTATTTCAAGACTGAGCTGTCTGTATTCCAGTGGCATACACACTCGTTTCTACTGTTTCGGGGAGGGTGGATTTCTTTGTACATTCCAGAGGATAGCATCTGTATGTTCTAAATAGTTTGTTTCTTGAATGTTAGTAGGACCCTCTTGACATTCACTCTCTGCGTCTCTGGATACTCTGACTGGAACACATTGGTCAGGCAAACCTCCCCTGCTTCTCGTGTGGTCTTTTTGTTTGTTCCTTTTTCATCCTGCCCCACCCCTCACCCCAGTCACTCTGTCCTCTGCTACACGGAAGTACGTGTAATGCTGTCCATTCAGGGGGGAAATGGAATACAGAACCTCTGAGGGTCATAAAGGATGCAATTAAAATCCAGAATGCAGAAGTGAATGGAATGATAGGAAAGCTCGAAACAAAACAAAGAGGATGGAAATATTTATGTTGCCCTGTTTAATTTTTAATCACTCAAAGGGCATTTGCTCTCATTCTGCATGGAGATAAAATTCTCATTTTATTTTTCCTGGGCCACAGTACATGATTTTACATCACCCTCTCTCTTGTCTGCTCATACACAGGTTAGGCTATTATACTCAAGAAATGCCCACACTACTTCGTGTAATCTCAGAAAACTGAAAAACTTCCAAGGTTGGAGGAAAGCATTTCAGATGATCTGATGCCCATAGTTCTAGGGCCCATACTCTCCATTTTGAAACGTGAATCAAGAATTGCTTGATGTGCATTTCTCACTGGAAACTCCAGATTTCACCAATTTAAAAAATATGTAAGACGCAGTCATTGAATTTGAAGTTCAAATAAACCAGATATTAAGTATAAGTATGTCCCAAATATTGCGTGTGACATATCCTGAAAAATCTGAAATTTAAATTTAACCAGGTGTCTGCATTTTATTTGTCTCTATTTATAATCTGAGTCTCTGTTTCTGGACTTTTCATAGAGCCTAGTCATGCTAGTTATCTAAAATCTGTTTGTTTAATAATATAGAGAATTATCTTGAGAGAATTTCAGCCCAAGCACTGATTACAACTGCTGATACCATCATGATGATGGTGCCTGGATAGTGGAGTTTGCTTTTGTGTTCATAGTTTCTTTCTCATATGATAGAGCTGCTCCTAGATTTTATGTGAGCTGGGAGCCAAAACCAGTCACATCAAATTCTCACTGGACATTGATTATCAAAATCGCATTTCATCAAGGGTGTTTCTTCCATTGTTTGGTGGGATAGACCAGAAGGGTCGTTGTATATACATACTAGCCACTTTTAAATCTTTGCTGCTCAGTGCCTGGGAACGCAGACATGCACACAGGAAAAAAAAAAGAAAAAGAAAAAGTAAAGTAGAATTCACCTCTTAATATTTTGTACCAAGCCCTGTTGGTGTGTTCCATAATAAGAAGAAAATATGGGTGGTTTTGTTTTCTCTTGTTTCAAGCCCATTAGCCATAAAACATAAAATGTATATCCTTGATATTAAGAGAAAAAATTGGCGTCGGAAACAATTACTACTGTACCTAATAATGTCTACTGCATTTCTCTTCTTGCTTATAAGATATTTCTATTTCTTTGCAGCAATTTGGTAAAATCTTAGATGTTGAAATTATTTTTAATGAGCGAGGCTCAAAGGTAAGCAACTTAATTCACTTTAGAATTGTTTAGTTTATTTTTAAATGTTTGTTGTAAGGGGAAACAACTGCACTGTCTTAATCAGCTCATTGTGAAAATACACTTCAGCGGGAGTTCCTTTAGAGACCACCTTCCGTTTTCAAAATGGTGGGAAAGACATCGGGTTCAGTTTAAAATGTATAAGGGGAATAATTTTAAATTGCTGTTTTTTATATATATATATTTTTATCAAGTTTCCAGAGGAAAATTATCCATGCTTAAAAAAATAATGATGTTGCTACATTTTTGTTTTTCAGTGATAATTATGTTCTTTATATTAAAAAGTGAGTTGATAGTCTCATGAGCAGGTAAATATGTGATTATTCTGTATTAATAAAGTGCAGTTATTTTCCTGGGTTGTAGGGGAGAAAAATCTCATATACACCAACCTTTTGAATGTAATTTTATTCACTACTATGTTTACCAATCCACATTTTGCGATTTGCCATTGCTTTGAGTTTGTTTTTTCGAGGAAACCAATTTTTAAATGGATTCCCAAGCTCTAATCAAAGTCAGGGGCTCTATGGGGAGGTTTGGGATCAGGAGAGGTTCTGTTTCAAAACAGAAATAGGGCTGGGTACAATGGCTTATGCCTGTAATTCCAGTACTTTGGGAGGCTGAGGTGGGTAGATCACCTGAAGTCAGGTGCTCAAGACCAGCCTGGGTAACATGGTGAAACCTCATCTCTACTAAAAATACAAAAATTAGCTGGGTGTGGTGGCGGCACCTGCAGTCCCAGCTACTTAGGAGGCTTGCACCCATCAGGTGGTGGTTGCAATGAGCCGAGATTGCACCACTGCACCCCAGCCTGGGTGACAGCGAGACCCCGTCTCAAAAACAAAGAAACAGACAAAAGAAATATGTTGGGAGAAGAAAAAAACACAAACACTTCTAAAGCCTCTCTATCAGTGGTTAACCAAGCGTGGTCCCAGACCAGGAACATCAGCATCACCTAGGAACTGATTAGAAATGCAAGTTCTCAGGCTCCAGCCCTGACCTGTTGAATTTGAAACTCTCAAGTTAGTGCTCAGCAACCTGTGTTTTAACCACACTTCCAGGCCTGTCCTTAAAATGATCAATGCTGTGTCTCTCCTTTTAGACCCATGACAAGCCTTCCCTGTGAGTGTAACAGGCAGTGGTGCTTAATAGTGTTGGGCTTTGGTTGTTGCTGCTGTTCTTCAAGTGTCCTCTTACCACCTGCACCCACAGAGCACTCAGGAACCCCATGAAAATCCCCAATTGAGGAAAACAACACATGAGACCTATCAGCAGACACAAGGGGTTAACAGGGAGAAATCATGGAGAACAAAAAAGATATGGATCTTGGTAACCAGAAAGTGAATGCTTTCAATAGCTCTGCCAGGTCTCCTAGCTGCCACTCCCCAGGCTGTTAGGAATTTTAAGTTCCCTTCTCCTTGCATCCTCAGACTATGAATGCAAATGTTGAGAGATACTGGTTTCAGCCCATTGACTCTCCTTACACTGGCAATTTGGGGCAAGTCAGCATCATGGAGGGTCACTAAGTGGTACTGGCTTTATTTGAAGTGTCACAGGCCACAGTGCCAGTTCTTTTGGGTATATATAACCATCTCTGCCCCCATAAAGCAAACCTTTGAATTTTTTTTTTTTTTTTTGGATAGTTTTCTTCCCTCCTAAGTTGATTTAGTACTAATTAGCTAGGATGATGCTGATCGCATCAAGGAAAGAAAACCGCAGTATTTTCTCCTCCACGGCCAAAGTGATGTTGTAATCTGTCAGATGAGTGAAAACAAAAGCAAAACAGAATCCATTACACTTTGTGATTCTGCTCCTTCAGGGACCTTGTCATTTTTCCCTAGGTTCAGATATTTTACAATCATTCTCGAACTTAACTATCTTCCTGCTTCTGGTATGAAAATTATTATGGGGACTATCTCTATAACTGCAAAGCAAAGTGCATTGAGAGAAAAATGAGCCCAGCCTAATCCTGTTCACTCGGGCCTTCTGTATTCTTGGCAAAATTGTAGATGACCTGAATGTTGACCAACTTTGTTCTGACTCTCAGTCTGTCTATAGCAGCACTGCCTTCAAAGATGTGTTTGATTTTTTAATATGTTTAATTTATGTTTTGTTTTGTAACTTTTGCCAGTTGAAGAAAGCTATTTAATTCCTTCTGAGAGCTGTTTTGGGACATTAGAAGAATATCATTTGCTATTTTGAAAGTACAATGGCGATACTATTTTTAAGACATCTTCCGTCATTCCCATGATTAGTCTATCTCTGGGGGCTTCAGGAAAAAGACCATTTAAGTTTGCTGCATCCAGATCCTGACTTTGTGAAGCTGTCTTTTTTTGGTCTTTATTCTTTTGGTTTAGGAAACATCTAAAATAGCCTCTCTCAGTGGGTATGCGCCCTCTGAAAGAGCTTGTCTTGCAGGTGTTGGAGCTGACTGTTTAGGTACTGCTGGAATGGCACTGAGACAGTCCAGTTGGAACTGCTAAATGGGGGCAGCAGCTCACAGGGATATTTTTCATACTTGACATCATCCTTTATGGGAAAGAGCCTTATTTAGATGAGCATTTCCATTTTAATGGTTCAGAAACCTCAACCATTGCTATGACCTCATTTTTATCATTTGGCGCTGGACAGACAGCCAGAAAATGAGTGGGCCCTTACAAGCCAGGAACTCACCTTCTTGCCTTTCGTTCTCTAGAGCAGTTCTTCAGGCAGGCCACTCAGTGCTGGAGGCTGTGTGTGCTGGGTTTGTGTGTATGTGTATGCGGACATAGAAACCCATACGTACTTAAGGGGTGGATGCGCATTCCAGCCCTTTAGGAAACTGAGGTGGGAGTATTGTCTGAAGCCAGGAGTTCAAGACCAGTCTGGACAACAGTGAGACCCCACCTCCACAAAATAATTAAAAATTAGCTGGGCATGGTGATACACACTTGTAGTCTGAGCTACTGGGGAGGTTGAGGCAGGAGGATTGCTTGATCCCAGGAGGTCAAGGCTTTGGTGAGTTATGACTGCACCACTGCACTCCAGCTTGGGTGACAGAGTGAGACCTTGTCTCAGAACAACCAACCAACCAACAAGATACATGCACAGACAGTAAGCATATTATCTTGGGAATGTTTAACTCAAGTACTTAATGTATGGATGAATAGCAAGAATGCAGAAAAACCGCATTTTAAAAAGATATCAGACAGAAAATGAGAATTTGTAAGCATTCAGGGGTGAATGATCCTGTAATTTATTTTTCCTTTTTAGGAGATTTGCCCAACCATCTCATTTACCTATGATATGCTCTATTTAGGAGCTACAGACAGATACAGCTACTCCCCCCTAAGTATATACTTAAGAAATCTGGCCAGGTACGGTGGCTCATGCCTATAATCCCAGCACTTTGGGAGGCTGAGGTAGGCGGATCACCTGAGGTCGGGAGTTCAAGACCAGTCTGACTAACACGGAGAAACACTGTCTCAGCTAAAAATACAAAATTAGCCGGGTGTGGTGGCACGTGCTTGTAATCCCAGCTACTCGGGAGGCTGAGGCAGGAGAACTGCTTGAATCCAGGAGACAGAGGTTGCGGTGAGCCGAGATCGAGCCATTGCACTACAGCCTGGGCAAGAAGAGTGAAGTTCTGTCTCAAAGAAAAAACAGAAATCTACACTTTGATCTTTGATTCAGTAGATATCAGTAAGTGTTTGTTGCATTTCATGAGAGCCAACTATGAGTAAGGCAGAAATACTTCCTGTCTTCATGGGCTTTCCTGAGTAGCAGGAGAGACAGACTAGGAAGCTGAGTGACTGCAGTAGCCTGTGTTGTTCTATGGTGATGTGAGCAGCCGCTGAGAGTGTGAACAGGCAGACGGATATTGTGAGAAGGCTTCTGGAAAGAAGCAACATGTAAGCTGAGAGAGAGAGAGAGATGCATAAGAATTTCCTAGAGGGGAAAGAGGGATGTCTTGCATGCAGGAGGAGTTGCATGTGCAAAGGTCACTGGAATAAAAGTGAGATGAGAGGGCTCATAGTCCCATTGGAAAATGATTCTTCAGATACTCACATCAACAGCTCCCCTCTTCTAAATATGATTTCCCTGCACCAGAACCTAGAGGACTGGATTTTTTCATCTAAGATGAAAAATCCGTACATTCATCCATCCAGCGTGCTTTATTTAAGCCTTTAAGATATAAAATGGTGTATTTGCATGAATGCAAAAAAGGAAGATATTGCCTAAAAATACAAAAGATGAAAAAAGAACAATAACTAGGATACAGGAGGATCAGAATGTATGATTTGCAAAAATATTTTAAAGTAAGCAAGTCACGCCAGTCTGGCAATCCTCTTAAGGCCGCCGTTATCTACCCTACTGATGGTACCTGTTCACAGCAGGGCACAGACCACCGATTTCTTTCCTTTAGTAGCATTAAAGGTAAACACTGGAAAGATGTGTCTCTGACTCCCCTTCTCTGTACCCCTTTCTTGCAGTCTTGATTTTTTAAGCAGTTACACATCAGCATCACACTCAGCCCTATGCCCAGCAAGCCAGGCTCAGAATGTGCTTGTTTTGTTCTTTTTAAGGCAGAGGTAAAAATATTCATCTTTTTAAAAACTGCAAATTGCTGTTTCCTTGAGTTAGAATCCTGACCATGAGGCAGGTCAGAAAAAAACAACCTTAGCACCTGTTCTCAAAAGTTGCCTGGCACCTGTGCTTCATAGCAAAGGTTCCCTGCTCATGGAGAGGACCAGGTGAGGGCTTTCTGGTTACATTGCAACCCCCAGGTTAGAATTTTGATAACCTGCTAACCCAGGGAGGCCGTGACACTTCTTTTCTGGATGGGAGGTAGAATTGTCCAATGGAACAGGTAGGAAAGTCTGTTTGGCATTTTGAGGACTGTCTGGAGCAAGTTCTTTCTGCACGTAACTTTGGCAAATCTCAACTCTAAATGAGGAATACCAAGTAGCCAACAAGAGAGAAAGAAGTTTAGCAGAATATAATGAGAATAATCATAAAAAAAGAATTAATATATTCTCTTCGCTTAAAAAGTGAGAACTTGAGAATAGATCAGGCTATTTCCTTTTTAGTACGTGCCCCTTCCTTGGGATTCAAAATGTATTTCTCTTTCTGCCTTTGTCTCTCCTAAACACATGATGCTGATTTCAGGCCAGTAGGTTTGCCTTGGGTTCAGACATGAAGCATGAGAGCAAGATTCTGGAGGATAATGTTGGACAGGTGGGTGAGTGTTCAGTCTCACCTGGCTATGTTCTTCCCGGTGCTGTGGTAATAATGACTGCTAGTTCCCATCGGCAGAAATGGCACCACCTCGCCCTCCAGCTACACCAGTGGGGCTATGGATTTTCTTGTCTTACCTAGAGAGAATATAAATCCAAAGCCCTCGTTTCTCTGATTCCTTTTGGAATCTGTGGCATGGCTATGGTTGCTAGGAAGTTAGGCCCATCAGGGAGGAAGAGAACGTCCCCAAGAAGCCTGGGACATGCGGTTTTTAGCTGTACCTCTACATGTAAGCTCCAAGTAACCGAGTCAAAATCTATAGTCAAGAATCTATAGAAATCAGCAATACAAAATTCACTTATTACAAAGAATGAAAACCTGCTCTTTTTGAGACAGGGTCTTACCCAGGCTGGAGTACAGGGGAACAGTCACAGTTCACTGCAGCCCCAACCTCCCGGGCTCAAGCAAAGAACCTTCCCATCTCAGCCTCCCAAGTAGCTGAGACAATAGGTGTAGGCTGTCACACCGGGCTTCTTTTTTTTTTTTTTTTTTTTGAGAGACAGGGTCTTGCTCTGTCACCCAGGCTGGAGTGCAGGGGTGTGATCACAGCTCAGTGCAGCTTCAATATCCTGGGCTCAGGCTGGGATCACAGGGGCATACCATTACACCCAGCTGGTTTTTTCTTTCTTGTTTTTCTTCTTTTTTTTTTTTTTTTTTTTTTTTTTTTTTTTTTGGTAGAGATGGGGTTTTGCCATGTTACTCAGCCCAGTCTCAAACTCCTGGGCTCAAGTGATCCTCCTGCCTTGGCCTCCCAAAGTGCTTGGATTACAGGTGTGAGCCACCATGCCTGGCCCAAAACCTTCTTTTGATGGTTTTGATCACACATAGTGAAATGAGAGGTCATGGAAATCAAATCGCTGGGCCACTCATTTTAAGCAAACACATTTCTGGACTCCACTCTGGGATTCTAATCCAGTAGATCCAAAGCAAGGCTCAGGAATCTCAATGTTCAATGTGCTGCCAAGTTCCTTCTGATGTGCGGCTACGTTTGATAGCTACTGGCCAAGAGTTAGAACTGTCAAATTGAGCGAAATCACCCTCAATTCTGTCTTTTTTCCCTTTGAAGAACAATCATTTCCGAACTATACAGTTAGCAAGTGTATTCATGTACCCAATATAGGCATACTGCATGTAGAAGACTAAGCAAGACGCCTTCTGTTATGGAGCAAGTAATCTTAAATGAATCAGATAATTCAGGCTTATCCTAATCACAGAGCCTCACCATGGGAAAGATTATGGAAGGTAATTTGGTTCGATCCCCTAAAGAAATGTTATTTTTCTCAATACAGTTCACCATTGAACACGGGTTTGAACTGTGCAGGTCCACTTACACGTTAATTTTTTTCTCCAACCAAAGGCAGTATTCCCAGGATGTGTGACCCGTATATACAGAGGGCTAATTTTGTTCTATACTCACGTTCCACGATATACAGAGGGCTGATTTTCTTCTATACTCACGTTCCACGGAGTGACTGTGGCACTTGAGAAGCTGGGGCGAGGGTGTCTTGGAACTAATCTGTAGTGGATACTGAGGTACAGCTATCTATAGAATCCTGACAAATAATCATCTACCCTCACTGGAATACATCCACATCCCCTGTCCTCTGCGGCCGATGAGCCTATTGTGACTGTTGAAAAGTTCCCTTAGCCAGCCCATTGGACAACACCTTTTTGTTTTATTAAAGTTCCAGGGTACATGTGCACAACGTGCAGGTTACATAGGTATACATGTGCCATGTTGGTTTGCTGCACGCATCAACTAGTCATTTACATTAGGCATTTCTCCTAATGCTCTCCCTCCCCCTGTGCCCCACTCCCTGACAGGCCCTTGTGTGTGATGTTCCCCACCCTGTGTCCAATACCTCTTTAGCCTTAAATTTGGAGGTCATTTTAGAGATCTAATGTAGGATTGGAAGTTATCACCAGTTGGTTGTAACTACCATGTATTTGTAATTATTGTGCATTTCTTTAGTAAAACTAGGTATTACACTATCCCAACTAAGCTTGGAGCCAACATGGATTATTTGATGCTAAAAGGGGCCCCAAAGTATTGCTTGATTTCACCCAGTTTACACTGAACAATCAGAAAGAGCTGGGGATATTTATGAGGAAATTGTTCAAAAGGTTGGTGTATATTTCTGAACAAGATGTACAAATATTTTTAGGGGCTTTAAAAATAATGTGTCATATTTTCTGTACTTAGGAACAATGTCAGTGAAGACAAAATATGGATTTTGACAATATAGTTTAGTGGGGTTGATTTTTGAGGTTGAAATATTAAAAGCCAATGTACTTGTGGTAAATTAAAAGGTATATATGTTATCTATCAGTAAAAGAGGAAGTGGCCAGAATATTATTACAAATTACATTCTGTTAACAAAGTTTTTTTGCTGCCCTTTGATATGAAAAGTAAATATTGACCTAATGCCAGAACTTTACAATATGGGTACACCTTTCCCTTTCTGGTTAATAAAGTAGGAGGGAAGGTTGTCAGATTCAAAAGCAAGTATGCAATTTGAAGAGTGGGGAAAGTATGATCACAAGTATTGAATTGTTTGTATTAATCAACTGAAGTTTATTTCTATTCATTTCATGTGACTTTTTTGTTTACTAGACCAAAGAGTTTAAGATTTGTTATTAAAAAAGGTCTTTCCTTTTTTAGGCTTTTAACTTTTATTTTTGAGAAGTAAAGGCTGTAGAATTGACCAATTTGAATAACCCTAAACCTGCATGAAGAAGAGATGTTCTTAAAACCACACGGCATGACTCTGTAGGCAATGTTAGAGGATTTTGGCATTCATTGTTGAATTTCGTGCACACGTTTTATTTTATTTTATTTTTAATTTGCATGTCAAAAAAGTGGTTCCCTTTTCTTTTCCTCGTTATTTCATTTTATTCTCTGTGAAGACACTGTAAATTTATTTTGATCTCATTTTCTTTTCGTTAGATTTATTTTCTTCTGTAGTGACATTTAGAAAGGTATTTTTGGTATCCTTCTTTGAATACTTCAGGGGTTACAGCTAACTGGTGACAGAAAAAAATATCTTGTTCACATTTGTCGCTTAATTATTGCACATCTCAGTACTCTTATAATTTCTCTAATTTGCATGTTACAGAACTGAAGCCAGGACAAGAAATAGAAATTAAAGCGAGAGAACATTACCAAGTGGTCGTTGACTGAAATAATAATCTGCATGTTGTTTTCCCTTCTCCCTCCTGCATGCAGGGATTTGGTTTCGTAACTTTCGAAAATAGTGCCGATGCGGACAGGGCGAGGGAGAAATTACACGGCACCGTGGTAGAGGGCCGTAAAATCGAGGTGCATGTTCAAAATATTTTCCTTTTCATCTTTTTTATAAATGTCTGCTTCACGCTCATTCGTTGTTCCAGATGCATCATTGGCGTCTTGTATGTGACCCTATTCCCCCTCATTGTTTATATATATATATATATATATTTTTATATATAAAAAGGAAAACTGGCCTTACTTTTTTTTTTAATTTTACTTTATTATGTTACTCTTATTACCACTGAAAGGTGGATGGCAAACGTGAGACAAAAGAAAGGTTAATCGGAAAGGGTTTTTTGTTGTTGTTGTTATTTTCTATGTTTTATAATTAATGGGTGCAATAGGTTCCAAAGAATACACAGTGTTGCAAACCAAATAAAATACAGAACAGTTTATTTTTCTTTTTCTTTCCACTTCAGGGTTGAAGAGGGATCCACAGTGGTTTGCAAATTAAACCAAATTGGGAAAGCAAAACAGATTGTATTTGTTTTGTTTTGTTTTGTTTTGTTTTTTGGAAAAAAAAATCAGAGGTTTTTACTAAACCTCTGATTTTTTTTTTTTAAGAAGCCAGTTTGAATTTCTGTATTCTTTTGATAACAAAGTGAATAACCAAACAGGATTTCCTGTTCAATATCTGGCCCCTGTTCACTGAAAGCATAAATACCAAAATACTGACACTCAGAGTCTGCTATTTGTGCCACTGCGATCTCCCGCAACATAGCCACAGGGTCATATTTGTTAAATTTTTTTTTTTAATACCAGTTACAAATGCTTTAGTCTTTGGAGTAAGATGTTGCATATTTTGCCTTTCATTTTCCCCTTCGACGATAACGCTTAGGCCCCTCACCAAACTCTCAGTAACCATGGTAACTGTATACAAACCCATGCTGGCGATGGTGGTGAATGGTAAGTGGTGAAGTCCATCTGCCGTTTCACGTATTTAGTGCTGATATATCTATATACATATATATACCACGTGAATTTTTTTGACTTGTCGTATTAAGTTTTCTTGATGCTCTATTTTTTTGGATATTGGTACGCCTGTAATTGAGTGTACGTTCTAAGCTAGCCTGGGAGGCACTGACTGGATTGAGTTATGACCGGTGCACATCTTACTCAGATTGTTAACTCCATATTGTGTTAAACAATGCACCCTCTCTTTTATCCTTTTGTTAGCTGTGACTTTAAAGCTTGAATGATTTTGTTAATTCTTGCGATGTAAAAGGCTCTTGTTCCAAGTGTTGAATGCTAGATGTTGCTTTCCTGATGGTTCTTTCCTCTTAAAGTGTTGCACACGGCTAAGACTTGTTTGTCCCTTTTTTTGACATTTATGTTCCCTTGTACCTTGTCTATTCTCTCTTCTCCACTGCATGCTCCTTCATATAAATTTTATTTTATGTTAAAAAAATATTGTTTCTGTGTTACCATGGAGTACACGCATGCTTTTAAATCTTCAATTATGCAGTATCTTTTAATTTGCTTTTACTGTCTCTTTATTAAACTCTTAATGATATGACATTGCTTTATTGAAATGATTTGTAAGTTAAATGGTTATGAAGTACATGTAATTTTTAAAATGTATGATTTTGTTATGCACCTACTGCCTTTTATAAATTAAAATGCATTTTAGTTTTCAGTTTTCTTTTTTTAATAAGTAATCACGGTCATAATGCATGCAACTAATTGAATTGGGAGCTGGCCCTAGAATATGTGCTTATTTGAGTTTTCTATGTACTTAGGTAAATAATGCCACAGCACGTGTAATGACAAATAAAAAGACCGTCAACCCTTATACAAATGGTAAGTAGAGATTGGCCTTTTACAAGAAATTCTCTCTACCTCTAACTCTTCAAGTAATGTAACCAGAGATTCTATTACAACAAGCTGTGTTTGCTGGGCATCGACACTGTTTTTACTACTGACCTGCTGCTACAGTGAACCACCTACATCAATAAGATTATTTTCACAACAAAGGCAAATGGAGTGTTCAGGTTAAGTGTGTATGCCCTTTTTCCCTTCTTTCTAGAATAACTCTTGTTTGGGATTGAGATACAGCAATTCTTTGGAAATTAGTTTGATAATTTAATTGGTTATTACAGTAAGTCGAGGGGAGAATTGGAGGTTTAGTTTGTTTGCTTTTCAACACCATCTCCTCGTTGATTACTAATCATTCCTGGAGGTGCAATCACATAATTTATTCTGTCTTTGAGTCTTCTCCAGAAAGATTAGGCATTTGAAGTGGTTTGGAGGATACCTCATGGCTGAATTCCACAGGGTTATCAGAACGTGTGAGTGAGTTATTTGTTCCTCTCTGGGCTGCTCAGTGTTATTTTGGGCTAGTTGACAATGTTGCTGTGTATTGCAGACTCCATCAGGATAATGCAATTTCTGTTCTTATCAATAAAACTTCTGAAAACTCCTAAAAAGCATTCACATATGAGTCATTAAAAAAGATTCTTTAATTCTTCTCAAAATAAGTATCTCTTAAGATATATGGGGGAGAAACCTGCCACCATGTTAATCACATACTTAATTGTACCAAAAATTAAAGCAATGAAGTTGAAGTATAGACACAGGGTAGAATATTATGCCCATTAAAATGAGCAGGATACAGACCATAAAGGGTCTCATAATTAAAAAATTGAAATAAATGTTTATAGCATAACTTTAGATAAATGATAACATGCCAAAATGCTAATTGTTGTGTTAAATTGTGAAACTGACATTTTTTCTTTGATTCAGGTTTATGAAAATAATATAACTTTATTACATCATAAGGAGATACATGGAATTTTATACTTCTAAAGTTTTAATTGCACAAGGAGATACTTTTTTAAAGTAAAAAAAAAAATTAAAAGCAACATTAAAAACAAGTCTAAAATATATTTTAAATAACTCCATTGCCACCCTGGTTTCCTACCTCCCCATCACAGGAAGCCACAATTACAGATTGCTGTCTAGTTTTATTTTGCGTATTCATGCCTATGCACGTAATAGGTGTTCATTTGTAGTATTCACAGTATTGTATATTTTTATGTGACTAATATGATACACCTCATAATTGGGTTTTTATAAATCTATATAGAGTTCTTTCAATATATAAAGATTAGACTAATTCATTTCAGTGGTTACATAATATTACACAAAACAGATAAATGGGTTCAATCAGAACTAAATACTGATTGTTAGATCATTGTTTTGTTTTATTGTGATTAGCAATGTATTGTCACTTGGTAGTTTTGTTTTTCCTGTTTCTTTGCCAGTGAGTACCAATTTGACAGTCAGTTTGCTCTTAATTTTAAAAGGGGCATCATTAAACAGGGATATACCATCTATGTAATAGGGCTCTAAGTTGAAAGACCAGAAGAATTGCTTATTCTGCTCACCATTTTTGTCAGCTTTAGCAACCAAGACATGCCCTTAAATGGTAAAGACTATCTTCACACCAGACTTTTAATGGCCAGTGCGGAACTGAAGCAAACCTCTGATTTATGTGTCATACAGCCTTTCTACTTGGGTAAAAGCAGTGACTCTGAAACTTGCTAGATTTAAAACATGGTGACATCAACCTGACGGTTGGGCAGTCTTTAATTACAAAGTTGCACAGTTGCCCAGGCACATGCGAGCCTATTTATGACTAGCTGCTCATGTGTGCCGAGTGAGAAACTAGAGCAAGAAAAGCCAAATATTATTCCATAAGCCATGTGCATGTATATTTATTTTAAAAGAGTTATTGATCAATTTTATGCCCAGGGACTGAAAACTAGTCCTGTAGGATTTTTTAAACACAATTCAAAGCCCGTTTATAAATAACTAGCCTTTCTGGAATATGAGGTATGCATTATATGAGGCATTTTAAGTGCACTAGACACACATGAAGTACTGTAAAGAGGACATGATTATCCCTACTTTAGAGATGCAACATTGAAGCTAGAGAAGATGAAGTAATAAAGCAATTTTTTTTTCTTTTTTGAGACAGGGTCTCACTTTTTCACCCAGGCTGGAGGGCAGTGGCACAATCTTGGCTCACTGCAACCTCTGCCTCCCAGGCTCAAGCAATCCTCCCTGGTAGCTGGGATTACAGCCACATGCCACAATGCCCAGCTAGTTTTTTACTTTTTGTAGAGATGAAGTTTCACCATGTTGCCCAGGCTAGTCTCGAACTCCTGAGCTCAAGCAATCTGCCTGTCTCGGCCTCCAAAAATGCTGGGATTACAGGCATGAGCCACTGCTTCTGGCCTGGCATTTTCTTTTTATTATGAAGTAACAGAATCTTGTGACCCTGCCTGCGTGTGTGTATCAGGCATCACTTTCCCTTTGTCTTCTTGTAGAAATGCACTCAAGTGGCAATCAACTACAATAGTAAAAAAATTGCTAAATGTGCAACCTCGTGTTCCTGCCAGATGTCACCTTGCACATCCCATGTCCCATTCCAGGTAGCCATGCACTCAGTTTCCAGGATTAAGTCAGTCATACAGGTCTCTCATCCATGTACCTGCAAAAGGGAACTCAGAATTGTTCGTGTCACACATACTGAGTATGGCACCTAAGGAGTTGATGGATAGACACAGTAGAATTTATTTAAAACAAATGTCAATTCTAATTATATAAAGACTGTGGCTTCTGTAGTGGAGATTATGGAGAACTTTGGTATTCAAAGAAAAGTAGTCCCAAGTTTCAACTCATGTGTATCGCCACTACAAATAAATTCTCTTAAGTGGCAATACAATATTACTGATAAAATATAGGGCCCTCTCAAATCCTTAATAGGCAGGAGGATAGAGTTATGGCAAAAGAGGGTAAGTCAGGACCAATGAAGTCACATTGAAATGAGAAAATTAAGCCATCGGTGAGGTTCACTCATTAGCTTCATATTTCATTCTCGCAAAGCATAGAAATTGTACTTCAGCAAAATTATAAATTACTAGAGCTATTAAAGTTTCAGGTCATCTCCAGGTGATGAAATATAGTTATCAATGCCAGCATCACATTCATACATTACCTCAATCACATATCCAGAAAAAGTTTTAGCAGCTGCAAAGTTTCCAGTGATAAAAAAGACTGAATTCTAAATGTGATGGGATGCCTGTCTGTCAGAGACGTGTATGATTCGTAACATAGAGGGTGTGGATGCTATTCTCAGGATATTTAAACAATGACATAAGGAAAAGCTGTAGAATGAGCTGTAGGCTTCTGGATGTTCTATTGAAAGGTTCCCCAAAGAGGGAATTGGACTATTTCTCTATTGCTATTTCTCCTAAGGACACCTACCCACGCGGAGGAGTTGGGGTTTGCTGTATTCTTTGGGGATCAGATGTTGGACTGCATTACAAGATCGAGAGCTGAATTCACAAGGATTTCCTGGATACTGGGGAAGCATGGGTGCTAGACATGGCTTTTTCATTTTCTTAGAGATGTTAGGAAGGATGAAAATGGGGCAAACAAATCCAAGACCCTGGAGAGAGGTAGACTTCGTTGCCACTATCAGTTCTGCCATTCACTGGCTGTTGAATCGTAGGCAAGTTGTTTAAACTCTCCATGTGCCAGCTCTCTAGTGGGAACCAAACAAATGATGGGAACTACATCATAGTTCTTTGTGATAATTATGAGAGATCAAGTACTCAACACAATGCTAGGCATGCGAAGTGCCCTAAAAGAATTTTTTTACTACTATTTATAGCCCAGTAGTATTTGATTACACAGTCTCAATATTAAATCATATTATTCCTTTATTGTCATGGATATTTGAATTCCCTGATAGATACTAGTTTAAGGATCAATTCTTCAGATGCTAAAAGGGGCTCAACAGGTAAAAGAGAGAGTCTTTGAAAAACTCAGTCTTTTGGGACTGGCTATTGTTTCCTTACTGAAGTAAAGCAAAATATTTATCTACAAGGAAAAATCAACAGCACTACCACCACAAAGTAACAATACAAGATCTCAAACATTTGATCTCCACATCAGGCTCACGATGGGGAGCAGTGGCACATGTGACTAAGTGGGAAGTTAAATGCACTAGCCCTTGGCCACCTCTAATAAGTCTGTCTATGAGGGATTCTCAGCTTAAAGTTACCATTTGTAGCAATGTTTCAAGAGAAATAGAAATCCCGTATTTTAGACGGAATTTCAACGTTGGCAATAAATACACGCCATTAAAGAATACTGAGTGAACCCAAACAAAACACCTTTGTACCCAACGCACACCTTGCTTCTTTTTGTTTGGTATTTGAGAGTTGCCTCCTGTACCGTGTCAGCTGCCAGGTCTCTGGCATCCTTAGTATATGTCTTTAGAAAGCATTGACAGGCAGTTTTTGTAACTCCTGTAGTGTACATAAGGATGCTCTCTGGAATGCGTTCCTTTGATATGTAACCCAGCAAAGCCTTAGAGAAAGCCTCTGCTGATGTTTTTTGTGTGCACATTCAGACTTGGTCTTTTAACACCCAATGCAGTCATAGGTAACTTAGTTAATATAGGTCGTAGCCAGCATCTTTTAGAAATGCTGACACTTGACCTGTGACAAGCTAAATTTGGGGAGGGGAGTGCCAATTCGGATATAGCCCCTTGATTCCCGGCCACAGAGGGGTCTAAACTGCTTGTGTGTCTGATAGAACCAGACCCCAAGACATCTGGTCTCTGCTCCATTGCCTTGTTGCAAGGCTGGAGGGGCCCTGGGAGGCTGGGACCAGTGGGCCTTATCCGCTGTTCTCCTTTTGTTGTAAGCCTCATTGTTCAGTTTAATGTCCTTGATCAAAATCTCTGAATTTGCAAGGCCTGGGGACATACACAAACTGCCTAAGAAATTAAAAATGGGATCATTTTGTTCATCTTCCTGACAGTGCAGACTCTTATCTCCAGCAGGGTTATCCCAAGGGTCTCTTTCAGGTACGAGAAGGAGTCACAAGGAATGTGGGTCCATTTGCATGTGATTTGCATGCATTTACATAAGCCCACATGAGCTCTGTAAGTCTGAGTGGAGGTGATTTTCAAGGGCTGGATTCTAGACCAAATGGACATAATAGACATTTACAGAATACCTTATCCAGCAGCTGCAGAGTACATCTTCTCATCAACACATGGAACATTCTCCAGGGTAAGCCACATGTCAGGCCACCAAACAAGTCTCAATAAATTAAAAAAAAATTTAAACTGTATCAAGTATTTTCTTAGACCATAATAGAATAAAACTAGAAATCAATAGCAAGAGGAACTTTGGAAACTGTACAAATACTTGGAAATTCAACAGTGTGCTCCTGAATGTCCACTGGGTCAGTGAAGGAATTTTAAAATTTTCTGATATAAATTAAAATGGAAACATGACATGCCAAAGTCTATGGGATACAGGAAAAGCAGTGCTAATCAAAAAGTGTATAGCAATAAATGCCTACATCAAAAAAGTAATTCAACTAAGCAACCGGGACAAGTCATCCCTAACAGGATTCTTTATTTAATATATAGCCCTATGTGAAGCAGGTCCTTGAAGATTGGAAGGAGACATAATCAGAGCCAAAAAAAAAAATTAGTCTCTTAGGAAAAAGCTCTGTATTCCTTTAGTTTATTTACAGAAAAACCAAGTAAATACTTATGGAATGCTTACTTTGCCAAACAATGTTTTAGGTGCTGGAGATTCATGTTGGATAGCAGTCTTGCCTGCTTGACTTAATTTTGATGAGGGAGAATGGTTATAAAAGACGATTAAGAGCAAGCAAAGAAAGAAGTTAAATCCAGATAGCATTAACGGCAATGCAGAAAATAAAACTGGGAATGGAATCATGGAATCCAAGAGTAACTCTAAGAGGAGGTGGGAAAGTGACATTAACTGGCATGTTCTGAGAAGACTCCAGAGCCCTAAATAACATCAAGTCGACTTTGTGAAGAACTGGAGAGTTCTCCAAGGATAAGGAGAAGTGGATACAAAGAGACTTTGATATACCGTGATCTTGGGGGGTTTTATAAAGATGAAAATGGCCAGTATCACTGTAGCTGGGAGAGAAGGGGACAGGGAAACAAAGGGAAATGGTACCAAAGTGGTACCAAATAGTTTGGTTAATAGTCAGTGTGTGCTTTTTCACTAAGGTAAGACATGTGTGCTGATCTTAAGTTGGGAAAGAGCTATTGAATTCTGAGTAGCAGGATGACAAAGCTGATGTTCTTTTTAAAAATTGCTTTGGTCACTATGACCAGAATGGACATGGGGGAAGGAGGAGGAAGAGGAGATGGTGAGAATTGGGGCATTTCTGCTGTTGGACCTGTCCAAGTAGAGATGGGAATGCCTTGGTCTGTAGTGGTGGCAATGGAGAAGGAGGGAAGAAATTTTCAAGTTTTAACCAACAGAATTTTCTAATGGATTGCACATAGGGTATGAGGGTAAGAGAGGAATCAAGGAAGTATTGATGAATAATTTTATTTTGAGCAACCAAGTAGATGGAGATGCCATTTGCTGAAGGGAGAAAGACTTGCTGAGTAACAGGTTTCATGAGTAGAGGGAGAAGAGGGAGACTAGAAGTTGGGTTTTCACGTGCATTGTCGAGTTCAGAAAGGACTTTGGTTTCCTACCGTGGGAGTGGGGTAGCTTTGTTTAGAAGGGATCAAGGATGGGAAGAAGGTTGACATCTGCACTCATGTTCCCATAATGACCGGAGCATTTCATTTTGTGGCACACAGATTCCCAGTTGTTTTCTTGTAGAGGAGACTTTATCAATTACATTTCTCACAATTGATAGTTGCAAACATGAGATAGCACAGATCTCCTGATGAGGGAGAATATGAGAATATCATTTATTTTTCTTCTTTATGAAGAGATTGCCATGGGTAGACTTCGCAAACTCGTAACTTGCAGAAAGACAGGGAAACAAACAGCAGATTATAGGTGGATAGATAGATTATAGGTATGTTTATAGATAGAAAGGTCAGTAGATAGATGGATGCGTAGGTAGGCAGATGAGATAAACATGATTTCAAGGCAGCCTCAAATGCCTCTGAGAGATCTGTAATTTTTTTGTTTTATTTTTAGAAAAATGAGGCCACTGGCAAATTTACAATCTTTAAGAGCTACACCAAAATTCATTGATAAGTATACCTTCAATGAAAAGGAAAAGCAAGTCTTATATGCAGAAGAAAGTATTTAAGGTAGTAAGGATATTCAAAAAACAAAACCTGAGATGAACAGTATGGAAAAGACACCATCTCCACTACCAATAACAGGGAGGAGCATCAGTAGGGTATGAGATGGAGAACAGTAGAAAGGTGAAGAGTGAGCACTTAATTATTCGTGACCCCATATAGATTGAGTTCACAAATTCTAGGTTTCTGTGAATGTCTGCAGCTTTATTTTCTACTAGTTTTTTGTACTTTTTTTTTAGACTCCAAGTTGAAATGTAGACATTAATTTCCATATCCTCAGGAATTGGACTTTTTTTAAGAAAAAAGGAAGCAGTGGAATTTCAGTTGGTCAAATTGAAGTCATTTCCATACTCATAAAACACATTCTGAAATGTCTGAACTAATATTTATTTTTCCATCACTATAGAAATTCTTATAAGGCAAGATATGATTAATACAAGAGAGGAGGGTGTCAGTATGGAATTTCAGAAACCGGTAGGGCAATAGGTCTTAGAATTTCATGTTTCTTTCTGTCGCTCTAAAAATGGGGCCTAGGAATTAAATATGCCTCCCAGGTAATTGAAGTGTTAACACTTTGAGAAACTATTCTAAGATCAACTCAGGGGCTGTAAACCACCTAGCTTCTTCGAGTTGGAATTGAAAGTTCTTAGAAAACATTCTTATCAAGTTTTAGAAAGTTCTGGATTTCAACAGACATACTGGCCTGTTGAGTTAGTGAGCCTCCGTTTTCCTTAGTGGATACTAGGATCACCTCTGGTCTATTCTTAGGTGGGGCAGAAAATCACACCTCTCTTTTCTCTGCAGACCACAGGGAGTTCTTACTGTCAAAAATACCTTCCTTCACTTTCAAACTTTTATCATTGCCTTTTCTCAGAAACATTTATTAAAGGATCTTTAGTATTTGATCCTCTGCTCAAGGACTCAAAGCAAAAGCAGTACACACCTTACCCTCCTCTGTCTTTCAAGGTTTTCTTTTTTCTTTTTGAGACAGAGTCTCGCCCTGTCACCTAGGCTGGAGTGCAGTGGCACCATCTCAGCTCACTGCAACCTCTGACTCCCAGGTTCAAGCGATTCTCATGCCTCAGCCTGATTAGTTGGTACTACTTTGTATTTTTAGTAGAGTCAAGGTTTCGCTATGTTGGCCAGGCTGGTCTCTGGAAACCCCTAGCCTCAAGTGATCTGTCTGCCTTGGCTTCTCAAAGTAGTAAGATTACAGGCATGAGCCACCGTGTCTGGCCTGCATGGAGTTTTTTTCTTTATTTCTTTTGAGACGGAGTCTTGCACTGTCACCTGGGCTGGAGTGCAATGGCGTGATCTCAGCTTACTGCAACTTCTGCCTCCCAGGTTCAAGCGATTCTCCTGCCTCTGCCTCCCAAGTAGTTGGGGTTACAGGTGCCCACCACCACGCCTGGCTAATTTTTTGTATTTTTAGTAGAGATGGGGTTTCACTATGTTGGCCAGGCTGGTCTCAAACTCCTGACCTCGTGATCTGCCTGTTTCAGTCTCCCAAAGTGCTGGGATTACAGGCGTGAGTCACCGCACCCGGCTCCCACATGGATGCTTTTATAAAGGCTTAACCAGTAGGAGCAGGAAATAATCACAAAACCCTAAAATGCTATCATTCTCTGGAAATTGTTCCCTAAATAATGCCCAGCATATATATAATGTGCTTTCCAATTTGTGAAAATTCTTGTATGCTCTTTTTTGTGAGTAAAGATTTCTAAAGGGCCAGGATTCATTTTACAAAAACCTCTCCATCCAGAACATTTGGAAAATTACAGGATTCCATTCATCATATATACAGGTTATCTGAAAGTTAGCTTAGATATCATGCATTGATTAAAAATTTTTTACGGCTCCTGAATGCATTAAAATGTATTCCACAGTAAATCTCTAGGGGATAAAATATCATTTTCTTTGGTCTTCACGAAGCACTTTGGAATTCTCTAGTATCTTGAGGTTATAATTAGGAATGACAATTGTTAGAATATATTGCTGCCAGGATTTTTGTTTATGCAAGCTTTCTAATTTCTGTGAACTTAATGCAGAGGGGTGTGATGGATTATCTAGCAGTGATATATGAAGACAAAAAATTGAAATTATAGTAGTTCTAAAAAATATTGATAGAGTAGAAAATTAATTACCATGTCATTTTCAAAGGATTCACTTGTGGCTGGTCAGTAGTTTCCATTCCATTAACTTGCACTGGCAGAAAATAAAAGGAGGGCATGAATCTATTTTCTTATGTATGATTTTTACATATTTTTATGCTTGCCCAAACAACACCTCCTGTACATTTTAAAATACAAAATAATTTAACCCATTTGATTTGTGATTCATTTGCAATTATATAAGATGTTGAATCAAATGTGATAATGTTTTTGTGTATTTGTTTTAAGGCTGGAAATTGAATCCAGTTGTGGGTGCGGTCTACAGTCCCGAATTCTATGCAGGTAAAGAGTTTCTCTTTGCACGAAGTCTTCTCGGTCTCTTCTAAATGTGCTTTGCCTGCCAAGAATGAATGGGTTTTGTAAAATAACCTGAAGCAAGTGAATTCCTATCCTAACAAGTTCTGAATGATTTCTTTGGGCAAAATCAACAGTGCTTTAAACAGTTTAAAAATTACAAGGGAATCGTGTAAGTTTCGTGGTTTGGGGGGGGGGGGTCAGCATGGAGCCACTGCTCCTTAGGACAATTCACATTGATTTTGCCCTAAAAAAGCATTGTGACTTTGTTCAATAGTGTATTGAACAAATGGAGAGCTGCTCGCGCCCACTGTATTTCAATGTGCCTGAATGTGTGTTGTAGCCATACATTTCCATTTGGGGTTGGCATTTTCTTTTTCCCGGCAAAGCAGAGAGCTGAGTTGGCTTCATTATTCCAATAATGCAGGAGTGATTTGGAATTGCCAAGGGAAGGCCTATTTCGATAACTAAAAAAAAAAAAAAATAAGTTGTCTGTCTTCGTTCATGAATCAATTTCCCTTAGCAATTCCTTCTCTCTCTACTTTGCCTTCCAGAATATGTCTCTCCTCACCCCTTCCCTGCCTAAGCACCAATTCCATTCTCTTAGAAATTTGGGTAGAGCGTAACCCAGAAGCAGTAGCGACTGCGATGTCATGTCTTGATGTCCTAGGCGTGGCCCGTCACTACTGCCTGTATGTCTCCTTGCTCCTGAACAAGGCTGTATTGAATACTTAGGACCTTATAAGTAGATTTGCCACATGGATATTTAAAAGAAGTCTTTGATGTGGCTTTTGCTTTTTGATAAGGAGAAATAAATAATCCATTGATCTAGAACCACACCCTTAGTAACGTCTTGACGGTAAGTCATACCCCTTGCTTTGTTTCTTCCTGGGCTGCCTAACTTTTGTCATTTTCCTGATACTAAACACTGACCCTTGTAGATGACAAGGGAACATAGAAAACTTAGCTACTCTGGCACAACAACCAGTCTGACAAAATTTAAGTTAAAAAATGTGGTAAATCTGGAAAGGCTCAACAGGATAACTGATTCCTGGATTTTACATAGGCGATGGTTGGAGTTATTCTTCATGTGTGAGTTTTACTAGGAGCCTGGATTAAGTCCAGAGATTCTAACGCTGCAAAATAGCTGTGTTCAGTCTTACGGGGGGAACAGATTTAGCCGTCAGGCTTTCCATGATCATATTGTGAACCCCACCCTCCTGAGAAGACACCTCTGCTGAGTGAGGAACAAGGAAACCATGCCTACACAGCTCAGGTTCAAATTCTGCTTGCCCTACTTACTAGCAGTGTGACCCTGGGCAAGTCACTTTACCTCTCTGTGCCTCAGTTTCCTCATGTGTTAAATGGAGATGATAGTAACAAACTGATTGGTGTTTATTAGAATTAAATGTGTTAATATACAAAGAGTGGTGTGTAGCCAGCCCCTGTAAATGTTTAGTAAATAAAAATGAATATGTTAATTGCTTTGCCAGGAAGGGAAAGTTAGCCGCATATTCCGCTAAATTCTAAGTATACTATGAGACGAAGAGATTCTTTTCTTCATTGATGAGAGTACTAGTCCTTTAGCTCTCAGCGTGTTCATTTAGGGGTTGTTAATTTCTGGAATCAGGGGCATGGTAGTTTATTCAGGGGACACACAGAACATGGCATGTGTTGCTGGGATGCATCTTTGTGCAAAGCTGCAAGGAAATCAAATCCCACAAATGGTTGAAGATTCAGACAACAGCTTCTATGCCTCTGCAGCAGGCACTGCCCATGAGTGGAGAAGTTGAAGAAATATCAGTTTCTGTCTATATGCGCATATCCGAGTGCATATTTTCAGCCTAAAATAGCCGAGGGGAGAACAAGTAAGTCTTCTTGTGGGGAGGAAGGGTATGGATGCGTGCGTTGCGGTGAAGAGGGAGAAATGCATTTTTACATTTTTCTGATCCTGTGCAATGGAGTTGTCAGTTACCCTTGGATCTAGTAAGGAAGAAAATACCAACTATCTCCGTTACTTGTGCTTTCAAAGCCACACACGTATCTGTGGGTGTTTAGGAGGACATTAAGATGACAGAAACGGTTCAGACCGATTTATACATATGAGAATAAATTAATCCGCATGACTTCTAGAACATTAGAGCAGCTATTCAGATTAGTCCAGGGCTGAGCCTCAGAAGTTAGATCATTAGGTTAAAGGAAGACAAAATGTTACAATGTAAGTTAATATTTACTGGATACTTTCTATGGGCCAGGCACTGTTCTAAGCACTGTACATAAGTTTATTGTATTTAATCCTCATGGCAATTTTCCGTATGAGGAAACCAAAATACAAAAAGTTGGTATTACTCCTCTGAGATTTCACAGCTGGTCAGGAGGAGGCCAGATTTTGAAATCAGGCTTTGATCATCTCAGAATTCATGTTCTTTACAATCAGTTAATACTGGTGAGTTGTTTTTTTTTTTTTTTTTTGGAGATGGTTTTGCTCTGTTGCCCAGGCTGGCACGATCTCACCATCTCAGCTCACTACAACCTCCACCTTTCTGGGTTCAAGCAATTCTCCTGCCTCAGCCTCCTGAGTAGCTGGGATTACAGGTGCCCGCTACCATGCCTGGCTAATTTTTTTTTTTTTTTTTTTTTTTTTTTTTTTTTTGGTAGAGACAGGGTTTTGCCGTGTTGGCTAGGCTGGTCATGAACTTCTGATGTCAAGTGATGCACCCAGCCTGTTCATTTTTTTTTTTCTTCATATTAAAGGTCATGATTCCATCGACTGTCTCCTATGATCATGCTACTGCTCTGTGTGCAAACCAAAGGAATGAAAGAAGAGAAGTAACATAATCATTCTGTATTATTCCAGCTGCCACCACCACCACCATATTCAACAAGTGTTACTTGAGAAATCTGAGTATCTGTGTTTCATGCTGCCACTATCTGGATTATCCGGAAAATCCACATACTTTCCTTTTCCACTGTACATTTGTATGTAGGTAGACAGAGCTCACGATATTCAGAAATGTGGGGACAAGTTGCTGTAATTTTAACACTGCAGAGCAATTCTTTTGAAATATTTGAAGAGCTGCAAACACTGAAAGTCTGGCTGGCTTAAATCTGAAGTTTCAGGCACCTGCATTTACGGAATGGACCTCTGCGAAGTGGTAGATTCAGAGCGCATTCATTTCCATATCCAGGTATAATTATTACTGTCATGCATCTACATATCCCTAAGAATTTATGGGGCATTTTAAATTTCCCTAGCTATAAAAATAGCCTGAATATATCTTGCAATTCTGAGTGTGCCTCAAAGCTGAAATGAAGACCTTGTCATTGATTTGCTTTGTATGTTTAGTAGGCTGGCTCTGTATCTGCTTAAGATAGAAAGCCAGACTTATTAGTCATTTCTCTATATAAGGTTGTGTGTTAATGACATATTTTATAATATCCCCATAGTGTAATTATTTGGTTTTCTGAAGCTTATGCAGAATTAACAACCCAGCCTCCAATTGTCTCAGAATGGGGCATGAAAAGTTCACATATTTTGTAAATTAAAATCAATATCTTCAATCTCTCCTAAAGGTAATTTTCCTAATTTAGTAGACTTAAAAGAGAAAGTAGACCATTTACTTTCTCTTTTAATTATAAAACGGCAAGTTATTGGCCAGGCGTGGTGGCTCACGTCCTGTAATTCCAGCATTTTGAGAGGCTGAGGAGAGTGGTCTCAGGAGTTGGAGACCAGTCTGGCCAACATGGCGAAACCTCGTTTCTACTAAAAATACAAAAGAACTAGCTGGGCATGGTGGCGTGCACCTGTAATATCAGCTACTTGGGAGGCTGAGGCAGAAGAATCACTTGAACCTGGGAGGCAGAGGTTGCAGTGAGCCAAGGTGGTACACCACTGTACTCCAGCCTGGGTGACAAGAGCAAAACTTCATCTCCAAAAAAAAAAAAAAAAAAGGCAAGTTATTGATTTTTGTATGTAACATTTTGACTCCCGGAGTACATTTTTACTGCAAACTCAGGGTGAGGGCAGGAAGAGCCATTGCACTTCTTAATGAGGACCTTTAATTACTATTTGCATTGATAAATTATGACATTCCTTCTCCCTCACACATGCACTGCAAAGGAAGCATTGAGAAATTTCTAATGTATTTTGGATGATTTTTCTTTTCTGAATTCTCAAGTCATACTTATAAAAACCCTTCTAAATGCTTATGCCATGCCAGTCTTCAGACAGATACACATACATAAGCACATCCCATGACAAATATTAATATACACCTTCTCCCAGGAGAGATGGGTGGTTTTCTGTAAAGCAAGAACAGCATTGATAATTTCTAAATCTAATCATCTCCAGAGTCCTTGGGGTTTATTCAAGACATAGGATAAGTCCCCACACACAAATCCAGGTGAGTCACGAAGCCTTTGGCCAATGTCTATGGCCCTTCTTTAGAGTTTAAGTAAAATTGAAGGCAGTAAGGAGAACTAGACTGGGAATATCTGTACCCAGTAGCAGGCCTCGTGTTATTTAGTGTAATTAAAAATAGTGTTTCCAAGAATCTGGCGTAAGAGGCCTCAGAGGGGATTCTTACACTTTCCCTGTCATTGTGAGAATTTCCCTTGTCTTCTAATAAAAAAATATATATTTTTAAAAGTAGTATCTTTTAAAGATAATCACAATATCCAGCCAATGAAACTGTTGATTTATGGCCCCTTTAATCTTCATAAATAAGTAAAGCAAAATCAAAATAAATAACAGAAGGTTATACAAAGTTGTCAGCATGGTGCTGACAAACGGTGAATTTATCTGTTTCTCAATTGCCAGGAAGATACACACTGCAAAGCTCACCCACGTTGTATATCATATCTGCCAACTCATTTCTGTGATTAAATATTCCATCAGTGGGGCTATAAGGCAGCAAAGCTTAACAAGATTCATAAGATGCACCACTTGAACACACATAACTCACTTCCGTGGATGGAGAGCACCCCGC